TAAGTAGGCTTCTGGGATCCAGATAATCTGGATTCAGTGCTGTAGGTTTAGAGGAGTTGTGTGAGAAAATCAACTGCCTAGTACTAGTGGATCAAGGTCACTGTATTATTATATTTAAAACCTTGCATTATACTTGAGGAATCTCAGTTCAGAGATGTTAACATGTCCGAGGTCACACATGTAGCACAGTCACAGTCATACTTACGATTCCAAAGCCCATAGTGTTATACCAGGCTATACTATTTTTCAATCTGAATATGATTGAGGCAACTACGGTGCTCCATCAAATTCTATTTACTCTAAATTGTTTTCATTTTTTTTCCAGAATTCGAATATTTTTTAACAGTGCTTTATTCACACATACACATGCCTACATCTCTCTCTCTATATAGATGTATGACTCTAATACATATTTTAAATATTTTATATAACCTGTTGTGATAGATAATATTGTGTTATAATATCTGTTTTAACACTCATTATTACTTAGGCAAAGTTTTTTCTAATGACAGTTATACTATAAAGTATATAAAATGAATAAATAAAACAAGTAATTTCAAACAAGCCAGAAATAATGCAGAAAGTTAGCATTATATAATTTTTGTTGTCCTATATAATAAAATGATAATATGAATAAAAAAACTCCAAAGATTAGCTGTGCCACAATCAAGAGTAGAAAATTCAGGAAATTACAATCGAGAGTTTACTGTTGAAAGAAACATCAGTAAAGTTGATTCTGAAGTATGCTGATTTGATACATTTAGCGATACTTAGAGAATGAGCTACTCTGATACTATCTGACCAAGTTGGGTAATAATCTGTTAACAGGTCAACATAAAAGACGAAAGTACCTTTCAAAACAGTTAGCTTTTCTTTATCTTATCGTAATATATTTAACTGATAAACTTCATCAGTCACCTTGCAAATATATGACTTTCAATGGAAAGAAACTGCAGTGATATAACGCATATAAAGCATAACAAAATTTTTGAAACTAATTAATACAAATTTCAATAATCTGTCCTACATATTATTGCAGTTATGTTCATTAGTCCAAAGAGTATGTTTAAGCACAGAAATGAATTTAAATAGGAAAAAATATATTTATCTTACCACCAGGCAATATCACAGAAATGTAAAATTAAATATTAGGTTGAGACCACCTGATTACTGTTACATATACTTAGGAAAAATTTAGATTCCAGACAAAAGAAATTATTTATCATCTCATTCCACCTATTAAAATATCTTGATATTCAATGATGGATGATAGAGAAAATTAAAATCTGATAGCCTTAAAACATCATACGATTACTAATTTTACATTCCTTACTAAGATTTCTGTTGCAGTATTTTAATACATAAACACTGATTTATCAGTATGAATTTCACTGCAAGTTTGCACTTCAGTGAAACTACTCACCCAGTGTGAATCTATTTCACTTTATACAGTAGATATGTAAAGTTGAAACAAAATCATATATCTGCAATAATAATTTTGTATATCATTGTGTTAACTACCAAGGGACTTTCACTCCTTTAAAGGATGTGAGGCTTCAGGAAGTCAATGAAACATGGTCTTTAGAAGGGCCAAATTTAAGCACGAAAATATTGACTTCTGTCTTTTGGCCATATGACAAAATTTCCTATGAAATAGACTAAATTATAGTTAAAGGAACTGTAGCCTAATTCTTCTCATAAAAATTGTTGACATATAAAAGATATAACATACATTATACTACCAAAAGGTTCTGTAGGCTACTGGAAAATTTTGAACAACACCTTTATTTATCCTTATTTCCAAAGATAATATGCATTTAGTTCTTTGAGTTTCAAAACCGTCCTTTTCTCTTAGAAGATGCTTTTTGTTTCTATGTCCTAGATTTTATCTATCAAGGTCCCAAAACTTACAAGGGTCCTAGTGATCCTTTGGAAGAAGACATTGATTTATCATAGTCTGTGTGGAATATATATATATATATATATATATATGTATGTGTATGTATGTATGTATATACACACACACTTATATATGTATGTATGTCATATTATATGTCACATTATATGACAATTATCCTTGAAACTACTCAATGTATTCACTCATCAAAATTGCATTGGGATACTTCACCTGATATGTTGTATGTTTTTACTGTACTAGGAGAGTAAAAATAGAGAAGCATTATTTTCCTCTCCTAATTTAAGAATTCTGTACCATTAACTTCAAGTGACCTCTAAGTGCTTCTTCAAAAGCCTAAAATATTTCTCATTTTTTTCTCTTGAATTCATCAACTTTTTCTCTATCTTCAAACCTAGAATAATTATTTCACCATCATTAACCATGAATGAAGACCTTGCTTCTTGTACCACTGCAAATATTAGATGCAATCAAAGGGAACCTGCATGAATTCCCCCCCTCCCCCGCATCATATATATCCTGTCACTTGCTTCTGGCTTTTGTGCCCATGTGTTCTGCTTTTATTTGTCCGGTTATTAAGGATCTAACATCTGTTTAGATCTTAAACCAACTTTTGCTCTTGCTCACTAGATCCCATCTCTTCTTTCTCACTCAAAGGCATAGTCTCAGTAATTTTTTTCCATCTACATTATGACTTCTTACATCTTTATCAGATAGTGCCCTCAAGCTTACTAACATGTTGTAGTTTTTTTCATCTTAACAATTTATATCTCTTCCTAGAACCTCTCTCTAAAGTTCAAAATGCATGTACTTAATTGCTTACTCTTCTACATGAGTGTGCATTTTAAACTTGACATGTTCAAAACCTAAATCCTATTGCTTTTTTTTTTTTTTTTTTTTTTTTTTTGAGCCTGAGTCTCGCTCTGTCGCCCAGGCTGGAGTGCAGTGGCAGGATCTCGGCTCACTGCAAGCTCCGCCTCCCGGGTTCACGTCATTCTCCTGACTCAGCCTCCCGAGTAGCTGGGACTACAGGCGCCCGCCACCTCGCCCGGCTAGTTTTTTGTATCTTTAGTAGAGACGGGGTTTCACCGTGTTAACCAGGATGGTCTCGATCCCCTGACCTCGTGATCTGCCCGCCTCGGCCTTCCAAAGTGCTGGGATTACAGGCGTGAACCTCCGCGCCCGGCCCCTATTGCCTTTTTAGAAAAGTAAATTCTTGCAGCCCTCTCCATCTTTTGCCTTCTAGATGTTCAGAAAATATAATTGCGTATTTTAAAATGTTCAGAATGCAACCATTTTTACTACTTTCTCTGATAACATGTACAGTGGCACCACAATCTTTTCTTAGCTGATTTATTGTATTTGGCTTCTAACAGGTTTCTCTGCTTCTAGTTTTGCTACTTAAAATCTATTATCAAAGCAATAATCAGAGGAATCATTTAATACAATGTCAAGGATGCCATTCCTCTTCTCTCGAAGCCTCCCATTTCTTTCTCTCCAGCTCGTAATACAAGACTAAGGCTTGTTGTGACTTAGTCTGGCTCCTCCATTCCTCCCTAACTGTGTCTGCCACCCTACTCTTTTTGCTCATTCTGCTCCAGATGCTCTGACAGTCTTACAGTTTCTAGAAAAACCAAGCATGCTCCCGTTTTATGATTTTTACAGTTATTCTTCTCTCTACTTCAACCATTTTCCCTCATGTAATATACATTCCGCTCTATTATTTCTTTCAAGTCTCTATTCAAATGTCACTTTATTTGGGTCTCCCCTGACCACCATACAGAACATGTACTCTTTCCGAACTGTTCATCCTGTTTATATTATCCATATTTATCCAAACAATTTGTTCATTTCCTATTGTCCCTTACAATATGTAGCTCCATTAATGCAGATGGTTTCCCTATGTTGGCTCCTGATGTTTTTCAAGGGGCTAGACTGGTGCTTGGTATGTAATAAGATTCTGATGCATTGCTGAATGGATTGATAAAATACTGTTGGGCTATTTCAAATTTTCTGTTTCTTACTTACATAATTCCAAGGATTTAAATAGTCGTAACTTTCTGGGCTTATAGGCTTATTTCTAGGTTGAATCAAGAAAACCATTAAGCCCAGTGAAACTAGCGAATGCGCTTATAAGGTCTTTCGGACACAAAGTATACTTTGCTTTTAGTACTTATCTTGTTCTAATCGGTGACATTTATAGACTGTAGGAACTAACAGCAGAAATTTTATACCACATTAAGAAAGAAGAAAAATGAGAGCAATGAAAGTAGGCTCATTACAGGATAAATGGTGATGGAGAAGAGAGGTAACCTCCCAGTAATGGAAAAAAGCAAATAAATTCCCATCAATCTGAGTTTCACAGGATAGAGAATGGAAAACTTGATAGTTATTAGGCCTCAACATCAAACAAGATGACTATATAACTAATGAATATATGACTATATATTCATTAAAATATGTATTTTATATATTTACATTTTTAATGAGATATATATTCATTAAATGAATAAATGAATTCACTAAATAAATGATATATAATATGATATATATATGTGTATGTAAAACTTGAGAAACAAGTATGCTCTTGTTTCTCAAGTTACAATCAACCAGAGAGAATATGTTTCATCTGCCACAGAGATTAAATTCTGGTGAGGAATTGTATTAGTTGAAGTATTAAGGTTAAGATAGTGACATTGTTTATCACTATCAGGTATAATTTATAGAAAATAGAGTAATTATTCAATTGTTGGTGGGGAGTGTGAAATGTGTGAAAATTTGAAATGAAATGATAAATATTTATGTCAAAAAAATTTATTATGAAAAAAATCAAATAATTCAAAGTTACATTACCCTGACAATTGTCTCAGTTTTTCCACCTTGCAGATATAATCAAGGAAGCAACAGTAATTGCATTTTTTACTAGAGTCTTCTCATGCTTTTTAAGTTCTGTGAAGAAATGCAATCTCAGTAACGCCTATAAACAAAGCATGGACCATTTATTGTTGCATTATTGGTCTGTTCAAGTGCTATAACAAAATATAAACCAGGTGACTTAAAAACAATGCAGGTTTATTTCTCACAGTCCTGGAGACTAGAAAGTCCGAGATCATGGTGCCTGAAGATTCAGTGTCTGGTGAGGGCTCATTTCCTGGTATGTAGTAGGTTGTCTTTTTGACTGTGTCTTCACATGGTGAAAAGGAAAAACTCTGATCTCCTCAGTCCCTTATTAGGGCACTAATCCCATTCACAAGCGCTGCATTCTCACGACCTAATTAACTCTCAAAAGCCCTACCTCACCGTACCATCACACTGGGGATAAGGTTTTAATGTATGAATTTTTGTAGGACATAAATGTTCAGATCATAGCAGTTGTGAAACAAATTACTCACAAACTTAATACCATAAAGCAACAATAGGCTTTCATTATTTTACAGTTTCTTTTTCTTTTTTCTTTTTTTTTTTTTTTTTTTGAGACAGAGTCTTACCCTGTTGCCTAGGTTGACGTGCAGTGGCACAATCTTGGCTCACTGCAAGCTCCGCCTCTGGGGTTCACACCATTCTCCTGCCTCAGCCTCCTGAGTAGCTGGGACTACAGGCACCCACCACCATGCCCAGCTAATTTTTTTGTATTTGTAGTAGAGACGGGGTTTCACCATGTTACCCAAGATGATCTCAATCTCCTGACCTCGTGATCCACCTGTCTCAGCCTCCCAAATTGCTGGGATTACAGGCATCAGCCACCATGCCTGGCCTATTTTACAGTTTCTATAGGTATAAATTTAGAAACAGTTTGACTGGGCAGTTCTGTCCCAAGATCTCTCATGAAATTAAAGTGGAGATGGTTACTAAGGTTTCAGTCATCTGAAAGCTTGACTGGGGCTGGAAGATCTGCTTCCCAGGAGTTCTTACTGAAAGGGCAGAGTTCCTTTCCTCATAGACTTCTCCAGAGGGCTGCCTGACTGTCCTCATGATTTGGCTACTGTCTTCCTTCAGGATGAATGATTCAGGAGAGAGCAAGGAAGGACTGCCAAGTCTTTTATAACCAAGCCTCAAAGTCACACATCATTACTTCTGCAATATATTATTGACTACACAGGTGAACCCTATTTAACGTGGGAGAGGAATACATAAAAGGGTGAATATCATGAGGTGAAAATCATTGGAGACCATCTTGGAAGCTGTCTAACGCATCAAGAATTATTTTATTTATGATTTATTTGAAGTTTTTTTTTATTTATAATCTGTTTTACTTGGAATGATTGGTTATCAGACTCAGCATGTTTCAAATCTGTGTAACAGTTGCTATCTTGTTTGTCATTAGGTAAGTTCACATGAAACCCTCAGGCAAGGCCTTCAGAACTAACACCTGTTGTAATTCCCTTATTTCTTATGTGATTTAAATTGTGAAAAGTCCATATTTCTTTCGAAAAATCATTGCTTGTCTTTTGTCTCTGATGTTAGCAGGTTTTCAGGCAATGTTTTTGAATTTAAATATATTTGTTGTTTAGAGATGACTTTTCTTTGCCCTTTTCTTTTACATACAAGGGTACTAGTATCCAGAGAGGTCAAGTGGCTAAGGATGCAAAATTTGAAATAAAATTTAGGTTTTCTGACTGTTAATTTTTAGTATTTCCTCTACAACTTGCTGGTAGGTGGATAGTTTTTAATAATTGCATGCCTCTATAATAACACATTCATAAATTTAGGGAAAGATTTGTAGGCTTCTTATAATGGAACACCTCACAATGCCAGTGGCTATAAACTTTTCCCTGTATGATTTCCTTCTTTTCATTATGCTGAAGTTTCAGCTCAGCATTTTGAACACCTAAGGCAATGAAATGGAACTTACCCCAAAGAAAAAAGAAAAACAGTGAAAATGTCTGGGAAAATTGCAATCTTACAAATGTGTTGATATCAAAGTCCTGAAAACAAAATAAAATTTTAGAAAAATTCAACGGTATAATTCCTGTGTTATTTGATATTCTTTACTGAATAAATAACAAGACTACAGAATCATTCAACTTAAAAATATACACATATAGGTTTCCTTCAACCTTTAATCTCAACTTCACACATATAGGTTTAGAAATATATTTCATTCCCTTTCAAATAAAGAATGTTTTTTCTCTTCTCCAACCAGATTATTTGCGTTATTAATACAAGCAGAATGCCTAAAGGTTGAATCACTTCAGGAGTTGTGAATCAAGTGTAAAATGAATGTTCATTTATGGATGGAAGAAATAATGCCAAGAGAATAGCAGATCACCAACTACTGAACTTAGTGTATTGACATATGACACAACATTTTGTGATTCTTTAGCAGTTCATCTGTTTTTGACTTTTTGTCCTTTATAATAATATTACAAAACAAGAAAATACCAAAAGCTAAAACAAAATAAAATTATGTAATAGGATGTCTTAAGCTTTGTTTTTTAGTTTATCGCTTCATCAGAATAACTAATATGTGGTAGCATATCTGTAAAATGACTATGATGGATGCAAAAAGAACTACTTCATACTGCTTCATATTTCAAAAACAAGTGCTTTGTAAAAACGAAGAGCAACTTGTGTTTATAGTCAGAATGTAGCTTTTTTTATTGCTTTTTTGAGACAGTATGTCTTGCTGTGTTATCTAGGCTGGAGTGCAATGCCACGATCATGGCTCACTGCAGTCTCTACCTTTTGGGCTCGAGCCATGTTTCAGCCTCAGCCTCCCACGTAGCTGGGACCTTAGGTGCACACCAACACACCTGGTTAATTTATTTTTATATTTTGTAGAGAAGAGGTCTCCCTACGTTGCCTAAGCTGGTCTTGAACTTCTAAGTTCAAGTAATCCTCTGGTCTCAGCCTCCCAATATGCTGGGATTATATGTGTAAGCCAACATGCCCAGTCAGAATTTAGCCTGTAACATTCAGTATTTCACACCAAATATAACATCTCATAACGCAGCACCATTTAAAAATAAACTTTCATTTTAGAACACTTTTATGCTTACAAGAAAATGGAACAAATGGCCTAAAGAGTTTCCATACACTTCACACTATGTTTTCACTCTTATTAACATCTTACACAAATATGTTACAATTAATAAACCAGTGCAGATATATGATTATTAACAAAAGTACATACATTTTTTTTTCAAAAATTTGTACTTTAATAACTTCTTCCAGTTCCAGGATTCCATGTTACATTTAATAAGGCATTCAAATAAGAAAATAAGTCAAACTATCTCTCTTCACTGATGATAAGATTCTATAACTTGATTTCCTAAAGTCTCTACCAGAAGGCTCCTAGAACTGATAAATTTATTTAGTAAAGTTTCAGGATATAGAATCAGTGTACAAAAATCAGTAACATTTCTATATGCCAACATCCAGGCTGAGAGTAAAATTAAGAACACAATCCCAGTTACAATAGCCACACACGAAATGAAATACTTAGAATATTTAGGCACACAGCTAACCAAAGACATGAAAGATCTCTACAAGAAAAACTACAAAACAAAATCAGAGATAATGCAAATAAATGGAAAAACATTTCATGCTCTTGGATTGGAAGAATCAATATTGTAAAAATGGCCAAACTGCTCAAAACAATTCACAAATTTGACATTATTCCTATCAAATTACTGACGCCCTTTTTCACAGAATCATGTCTTCATGTGCTACTTTTAGCTATGACAGTTACTTTGATTTTTCTTGTTTATGATGACCTTGGGAGTTTTGATAAATACAGGTTAGGTATTTTGTAGAGGGTATTTCTATTAAAATTTGTTTGGTGTTTTTCTTATAGTTAGTCTTGTTTGTGTTCTTGAAAGGAAGACCAAAGATGTAAAGAATAACGTGTTTTTTTTTTTTTTTTTTTGGTAAGTCACCCATATAAGTGGCTAATTAATGTTATTATAATTCTCTAGTCTATCTATTATGTGTTCAACTCCATAATGTTTATATGCACCTTTGGATTTAAATCCAGGTAGTATTATTGCTCAAGTGTGTGAGATTCGCTTGATCTTCGTGAAGTATAGATAAATGCCTGCAGACTAGTTTGATACAATCTTTAGGCTTTTGTGATATATTTATCAAACTATATGATTTAACTACCCAAGTTCCTTTATAAATTTTAAGACCAGAAGCCCTGAAAATTATATGCAACTTGATGACTGTAATATAAACATTATCATCTCCATCAGTACTGTACATGTATAAAGACTTCATGTTATATTTTAATCAGAATAAATTTCCTAAGCTAGATTCTCATCGAATTAGTTTAATAAATGCTTATTAACACTATTCATTTGAATTTTATAATTATATCTATATTTTTATCTCATAACTAGTAAAATTCAATTTTGATTCAGTAAGTTCTGAATATATTGTCTGTATTGTCTGTTCTGTAAAACTATTTCCTGAGAGTGGAATTTCATAGGACTTCTCTATCAAATATATTATGTGCATATAAGCCAGCTCCTCTGGATGTGTTAACTAGATATGTGAATCATAAGAGGCTTTACAATAGGTAATAAAATTTAGTTGAAATATACTTAGCATTATATTCCATTTGCCACAAGAATTAATAATATGTAAGGTAGGAAATCAAGTTTAGTTGTTATTTTTAAAGTTTTTTTGTGTGTTTGTTTTTGTTTTTTTGTTTTGTTTTGTGGTTTTTCTTTTTTTCTTTCTTTTTTTTTTTTTTTTTTTTTGAGACAGAGTCTTGCTCTGTCGCCCAGGCTGGAGTGCAGTGGCGAGATCTCGGCTCACTGCAACCTCCACCTCCCGAGTTCAAAGGTTTTTCCTGTCTCAGCCTCCTGAGCAGTTGGGGCTACAGGCGCAAATAAACTGTAACACACTCTATCAAGGCCCTGTATATATATTTTATGTGACAGTGATCACAATAGCTGGATTATCACTTTTGAGACATCCAAAGCATATAGTCTTTCTATGAGAAATAGAGGTTTTAAGAGTGAGTGCATAAACTGCCTACTGTTCACATTAATGCTACACTAAAACACTTGACCGTGGTTCAAATGTAGCTAAGAACAGTACTTCTCAAAGTCACCTGAAAATGTTGCTAAAACTCAGATTTCTTAATTTTCTAGGGCCCACACCTGGAAATTCTGATTCAGTTGTTTGGCA